CCATTTATCATATTACACAATACTCTGGAACAGCTCAGTCCCCAGCTAACAATTTTTGGTTCTGGTAACGTTGTTTTTTGGTTCTCAGAACATTCCCAGAATGGACAACCTGACTTTCTCTGTTCATTAGCCAGAAAAGTTCTATTTATGTAAACAGAATACTCCCTGTAGGTTTGAAGTTATAACGTTCTCCTACTCTGCAACATTCCTTTACCTGCTACATGTAAAACAGGTATCATTGTAACCACTGAGAAGCATTTATCATCCACTTGTTAATTATTTTGTATAATATTTTGTATATTGCAAATTATTGTCTTCCAGAAATGACCTCACACAGACATATCTGCGTCATTCCAGAACATCCATTCCAGAGGGCTTGATATTTACTGACCTAAGTATAACATGAAGACCATGATATTTACAGCTGATTGATAACAGTTTTTCCAAAGACTGCATTCAATCTAAAATTTGCTGTGTGTCCATGCTGTATCTGTCACTCTGTCTTGAAATAGTCACGCACAGAGTGTGTGCACTCTCCGAGCACTTTAGCTAATGGAGCTGATTGGTATGAATGTGGAGGCTGGTGCAGAGCAAAGCTGCTGCAGAGGTGAATGATGTAATAGGGTTTTTTTTTTAATACCATGCCAGCTGAATCAATGACAATCAATCAGGATGAAGAGCTGAACACACATTAGAAGATGCTGGCGTGGTTGCAGCATGACACTGGAGTCTTAACAGAACTGGCATAAAACATAAACATAAAACATATATATATAGAACATAAAACACATATGTGCATGGAACTCCCAAACACATTGCTGTAAATATAGCAGAAAATGAGGAATGCACCCTTCTCTTTCTGGCTGTTTAAGGAGAAAAAAAAAAAAGGTGCAACAGAAACAGGTCCCAGAGGAAAGAAAGACAAATGAGGTCTCTTTAATATCTCAAATGTTTCTTTTAGACAGCAATGAGATTAAATGAAGAGCAAATGGGAATGAAATTAATTTTATAACTCTATACACTTAATGTATGCATTATATCGTATTAATTTACAACCAATTTTCTGTTAACTCATTTTAATTCATTTTTTTTAAATCAGTTATGGTTATAGTTTTATGTGTTACTCTATCTTAACAATTATCTTGTTATTTGTGTCTGTTTTATATCCCCAAATACATTTTAGGAGGCAAATCTGAGACAAGGTCGATATTTGAATTGAACACAATAGAGAAAACTCCATTAAGTCTCCTCAGCTATGAATGCAAATTGTGAGCAGTAAAAAGTCTTGAAAACACAGGACATGAACACTTTCAAATCAATATACATAAAATTGAATCTGTAATATTCTGATTGTTTACTTTTTACAGCTTCTGACTCATATTCAGCTAATGTTTGCACATGACATCCCTCGGACGTCAATATCTGCCACAAGGTCAAGGGGTCCGGTCTACTTTGTTGCACTGTACTGTCCGCTTCCTCACAGATATTCTAGTGAGACATGACAAGCAACACTGAATTAAGGATGTCTGTTGTATCTACCACACACTGATTTCCTCTCATAAGGTTACACAAACATACACTCAGAAATGCAGTATAAACAAAGGTTTTGTAGGACAGATCTGGTCCTCTGGGGACACCAAACGTGACGCACACTGGAGGTGGACAGAACTGGAGAAAACAATAAAGAGCAGGCTGACTGACCCACCAGCTGACAATAAATATGCTGAATCAGCTGGCCCTCTGACAGAACACACACACAGATGCATTCCTGCATGTG